TTCAGCCGTGCAGTGCGATGCTTGGGGCCACTGCTTGCTCACTTAGAGTTCGAGAAAGGGGGGTGCCGTAACACTTCCCAAGTGCCCACAAGGTTATGATGTGGCTTGCAAGGAGCTCTTTTGTATTACTTCTTCATGCAGTGAGTTGTGTTTAATGTGACTCATTATTTCTTTATCACGTGCCTCGTATGTGGTGATTTTTCAATCCCTCTAAAAAAAAAGTGTAAATGTGTTCAGTAAACATGATAAGCTGTAAATCATATAATAATAATATAAGAATATGCAATACCATATATGATTTTCGTACAATTTACAAGTTCTGATATGTGTATTGGACACATTCCAATGAAATGTTCACTGGGGTCTATACTTCATTTCACCCTTCGTCCGAGCGCGGCGGACGCTACCAGCCAATCCAGGGTCGAGAGAGCGTCATGTGACCTTGTACTCCACTTAACCAAAACGTCGCATGATACTCTCCCGGCGCCAGATTGGCTGGGGTGGCCCAGCATCCACTGGGCCACCCCAGCAGGTGCTCATTTCATGCCAAGCACCCTTCACCAAGGGTGTTAGCAAGCACCCTTTGTGAAGGGTGCTTGCCTGAACGCCATAAGGGTGTTAGGCCAGGGACAAACTGATTTACACCCTTAAGTGTGTAAAAACCTTTACTGTGTACTCAAGGCTTCTCTTTCCAAATTAGTGCCAGTAAGCTTGTGTAAAGTGAAAAATATTGTAACTGAACAGTAGAGAGTTATAGTAGATCGCTCCCATGACTCCGATAACGATACCCGACACTCCGCCACCGCCTCCCTTGCGCATGCATGGTATCGTTATCGGGACTATCGGATGTATCGGAACGATCTACTAAAACTCTCTATTGTTTTACTGTCCCTTCACCTAAAGTTACTTCTTTTCATTTGTTTTTACTGCTGCACTACCGGGGAATGTTAATGGTGGGACAACACACCATCCCTGAACCTACGACGACTGGAATGGTGGTCGCAACCAGCGTCGTAAGACTTAGTACTCAAAAAGTCCAATAAATATTGAGCAGCCTTGCAGCAGCTTCGCGTGTCATTACTATGTAAGAGTTTCTGGGGTTGAGTTATAAAACATGACCTCCCGAAACTCTTGACAGTCTTCTGAGGAACACTGAGGCAGTCTGTGATAAATTATGTATTAAGTGTATAACTACAGCCTCCTTCGGCCAGTGACTGGCCGGAAGTCAATGGCCAGTGGCTGGCCGAAAGTGACTTGCCAAAGGTGAATGGCAAGTCACTGGCCTAAAGTGAATGGCTAGTCACTGGCCAAATGTGAATGGCCAGTCACTGGCCAACGGTGAATGGCCAGTCTCTGACCTAAAGTGAATGGCCAGCCACTGGACAAAGGTGAATGGCCAGTCACTGGCCTAAAGTGAATGGCCAGTCACTGGCCTAAAGTGAATGGCCAGCGACTGGCATAAAGTGAATGGCAAGTCACCAGACGAGGGCGAAAACACTTCTATTGCCGAGCACTTTGGCCAAGCTTGGGCCATCGAAAATCTGGTTGGCCATAGTACACTTGCCAGCGATGGCCCGTTTACAACGTGCTGCTTGGGTACCCCGCTTGACATATGGCTGGGCTAGATTGTCTTCCTTAGAGTCATTGAATGTTCTCAGGGTACCGAATTCCATTCAGTCCACTTACCAGATGTCAATCCCCGCAATATTTAAACTTGATTGGCTGGTTTAGCCTGTGGCGGAGGTTATCGGTTAAACCCTTTTTAAATCATACAAAAAAAAAAAAACGTATATCACCGTTTCCGCATCACCACGGCTACGGTGGGTACGCGCAGGTAGGAGCCCTGGGCATCGTTACAAATGAACGGAAGGTGCGTTGATTTTCTCTAATTTTTATATCAAGTAGCCGCTAATCTGGTTCGCCAAAGAAGATTGCCGGCTCGTTTGCTCGCTGCGGTTGTGCTGGTGCCGCGTTTCAAACTCTACGCCTCAGACGCGAAGCCTAAAACTCGACTTCGATGTATTTCGAGGCAAAGAAAGAGAGACGGGAGAGCAAGCAGCAAGTCACGCACCACGTCACGCACCACTGGGAACGAAGAAAAGAACTTCGTGTCGTTACATGCCAGGAGCGTGGATTGAAGAGCTCACACAAGAACGAACACAACACTGTCCGCGCTTCGCTTCGACCAGAGCCACCAAATGAGCTGTGCTTAGAGTATCGGCACTCTGTTCCTCGACATTGCTGTGTGCGCCGCCATTTCGGTTTGTATGCAGAGCAGACGAAACTGCCGATCGTCATGATTCAAAAGTGCGACTTCCTCAGCATTAGATTCTGTGTTAGGAAGCTCATGTAATATTGCTTTGCTTTATCGCGAACTGTTTAAACATTTGTGGAGGACGGAAAAGCGTTTTCTTTGATTTCAGATAAAGCTTCAGATAACTGACAACCATGATTTTAAGCCACAATGTGGGCAGGCGTTGTTACTCTGAAGCGTAGCTTATTTAGTGGCACCAGCTCCGACCGCACAGGGCAGTGCCATATTGGTGATCGCGAATGCTGCGCCGCGATTCGGTTCTGAAACGAAGTTTGGGAGTTTCAGTCACGACCTACTTTTACTTACGACCACGTCACCTGAGTGCTTCCTACGGAAGAGCCTGCTCCCGGCCGAGGGCCTAGCTTTAGCGCGGCCTATGTGAGAGGCGTTCTCACTAGGCGCCACAAAGCTCGGTTCTCCTACCTCATCTGGTTCTCCTGTTACCCGTGGGTGAGTGCCAGCTTATCGCGCTTTCTAATTTCAAGCGCGTTCACGCTGTAAATTTTTTTCTCTATGTAAAGGATACTAAAGAAGTTCAGTTCGTTAATTAGTTCGCTATTTTTACAGCGGTGCTGTTAAGGGCTAGTTTCCCCAGTTTCGTGTCCGTGGAATCGGCGTGGACAAATAAATGTCGACACGACACTCCAGACAGCGACCGCCATCTATAAACGACAGTGGCAACCAGACAACCGGCTTGCCGGTTGTCTGTTTTCCGCCTTTGCTCATATATGGCGGCAACCTTTCCAGCTTTCCACTCAGGCGTGTCGACTTGCGGTCGGCCATTACCTCATTCCCACCGTAGTACAGCTTCGCTGGTCTTCCTTTTTCACATAAATGAAAAAACTAAGTTTTTTTTTTTTTTTTTTTTTTTTTTTAGTTTGCGCTACTTACACCAGATCGTATTGGCTGCGCCCGCGCGCCGCCAACAGAACCTGATACAGCACGGAGAAGACGAAAAAAATACCGAGTTCCAGGCCCCACCACGAGGCGCCGCTGAAATTCGGCCCTTTTGGAAACGCGTGCTGGAGTTTTTTTAGATGTAGTAACCGTAAGTATAAAGTAGGTCGTGGTTTCGGTACTCTGGGAACCTTTGAATCTAGTATTGCTTAGCCGCCGAGCAAGCTGGGCAGCGCTGGCACCCCGTGACACGGGCGAGAGTACGCGATGAACGAGCAACGTGCACAGAGGACTAGCTGGAACATCGGTGTCGCGAGCCATAGTGCAGCTTCGCGGCCACACGCATCGGTGTCGCCATCTAGGGGTCAAATTATAAGCTTCTTCAAGACACCCGCCACGGGGCCTCAGCCTTAACCACGATGTAAGATAATAATCTTCAGGTTTGAGCCGTGTATTGGGCTCTGCTTCAGGTGAGGACAGCGCGCTCCTCGCGATGTGCCGATAAAGTTCGCTTTTCACTTTCTCTCTTTCTTTCTCTCACTATGGTTTCAAGCGCCGCCGGCAGATGGCTCGTCGACCCGTGGGCTCGTCGACCCGTGTAAGACGCAGGAGGCAGGCAGCAGTGCAAAAGACGGCTCGTACCGCCTCATGCTTCACACGCGCAGAGCTCCAGCGAGGTTGTCGCACGTGCAGGAAGACCACGGTGTACCGGGGTGTCATGGCAAAGTGATCAATTTTTTTCGCTCTCACACAGTTTTGCCGTTTGGCCACCAGCGACGCTGTCAGCCGCGGGCACGTTGGCCGCGGAATGATGCAGCCTTTCGGATGCCCGTCGAACGAACGCTATCTCTTTACTCGCGCCGCGCATTCACCCCCGCCGTGTCCTTCCCTAAAGAGTGTATCTTACACCGTGGCCTTAACATAGCTTTGTAAATAATAAACAATTATACTTGAGAAAGTTTATATAAAACTATAATCCCTCATAGTCTAGAACCGATGGCTACCTGGACAATAGTCTCAACAAAATATCCTTCTCTCGTTCCGGTCTAACTAATACATTCATTGCGATTGTATCAAGCACTCATTCCATCTCTATCATTGTCGGTTCGCTAACCTGGCGCAAAATGGTGAGATGGCACGGTTCAGCACTGCAGTCGTTCCATCTTTGGTTGAAAATATCGACTGTATTTAATGAGCTATTTGGCACGAACTGTACATGTGTAGCGGCACAGGGAAGAAAGCTCTTATTATCGTTTTCAAAGATTGGCCATTCGCTCGTTTATGCCGTATAAGATTAGTTCACTTTTTATCGAAGAAAAGAACCCCATAGCTACTTTTGTGCTTTCTACATATGCCATCCAATGGTCCGTTCGCGACTGATAGCCCTGGTCGTGATGTTATAGGTAAAAACCATAGCAAGGCATACCAAAACATCTCGACGTCAATTTTGGTAAACCTTAGCGAGTTTAGAGTTTTCACATTAGGATCAAAACATTGTCAGCGTCAATTTAAGTTATTTTCTTTTTAGTCATCCGATGTAGTGAAAAAACAGACATTCATTTGACTTATTTGTTTGTGTACTCATTTTTTCTCTTCGTCGACAGGTCCGCAAGTTTATTCTGTTGACCTTAATTTTGTGCTACATCCATACTAGTTTCGCTGTCCTTTCTTGCAACCTTTCAATCAGTAGGTTCTAAATCAACTAGCCTTCAAAATATGCTGAAAGAAAACATCACTGATATGATATTATAGGTTGTGAATACTGGATTCGCATGATAGAGAATAAAAGTCTAGGGCAATAAATAATTTTATTTTTTGTTAAAAATAACTTCAGTTCAACGAACTAAAAGTGAAAGTGTAAAATGTATGAATATTCTACATCTTGACCGACTGTGAAACGTTGTCGTTGGCAACCGGAGTGCCCGTTGTGTCCAACTTGGATTTCTTTTTCTTGATAGGGTCACTGAGCCATAGACCGGCCGTAAAAAAGAAGGACATGAGTATCATTCCACCCATGCACCTCATGAGTCCGTCGTACGAACCGTACGTGTCCCTGAAAAAACCTGAAAGGAGAGTGGACATAAGTTAGACAGCTCCACACTGCAGACAAAACTCCGGCTAGTGCCAACAAGAAAGCACCACTTTGTCGCATGCAGCATAGCACAATCAAGCACGACACTTATCCACACTCGGGTTGAACTTTTGAACCAAATTTTTCAAAGGCGGTGGAATATCTCTACAGTAACGTCACTTCCCACAGCAAAAAAAAAAGAAAGGAAAAACAAAACTACGAATTCGCTTGATCGGTAATGTCATAGGGCAGATTTGATATGTATATATGTTAGTAATATTTATACTAAACCAATCAGAAAATACAAATTCTGCTTTTAGAGAGCTGTCAGTTGTCTCCGAGAACTATTCAGGTGCCGTTTTATTTTATTTTAAATGAAAGCTTACAATGGCCTAGTTATCTGAAGCAAATTTAAAATCACGGGAGCTGTGATCACAATTTAAGACCTCCCCCCCCTCTTTTTTTTTTCAAGTAAAAAAGGAGAATTCAAAAAGAGAGCTATCAGTAGTTACCAAGAACAACTAGCACAGTGCTCACCAAACTTGTACGAAACACGCAACTTAGGTCTTATCTCACACGAGCGGTATCCTGGCGGCAGCCGAAAATCAGCTTTATGATGTAGCGCTCAGTGAAATAGCCCAAGCAGGGCAGGACGCTCGCACGTTGTGCCTGCCGGATGATCATCGCTTGCCGCCCCCCTTCGCATAAGGTACAGAGCGCGACACTGTTAGCGCGAACAACCGATCGCCAGTTCTCTGTGTTTTTCTCTTAGAACCGAAAAGCTGTCATCACAAATATCATTGTTATAAAAGAGCTCATCTAGGGCTCTAGTATAAGGGGTAAAATTGTGTGCCCACTAATATTCATTCATAATAAAATGCGAAAAGTCGCCGATGTCGTGTTCGCGCTAACAGTGTCGCGATGTGTACATAGGGGTCTCCTTGAATTGCGGTGTCCACCATTTGGGGCATTATTCTTCACAGCACACATAACATACACAGAATAAATGCAGCGTATTTATACTTACTAATCACCACGGGTCTTGAGAACGAACCGATGGCCGTCACACTAGCCAAAATGCCGTAAGCAATAGGAAGGTTTCTGGTGCCCACTTCTGTAGCTAGGACCTCCGAGATTCCCACCATGAGATAACCCATGGGCGCACCCAGGAATATCGTCACCACCCAAAATGTCACTTTAGTCTGTGCGAACGGAGTCATTTGAGCTAGGAATGCCATCACAAAATAGCAGGCGGTCATGAGCCCCGTATTGGTGAACACCTTGTAATCCGTGAGAAGAGGAACAAAGATCCTCCCTATGGTGTCGGTCACCGAGAAGAACGTTAAGACGTATACTGCATCCGTCATGTCCAATCCAATATCCACTCCATAGTCAACGACGATGGTAAGGAACCCGTCCAAGAAGAAGGAGAACGAGAAGTAACTCATCGTGTGAAAGTAGAAGCGTGGCATCAAGAGCACGTCTCTGACACTGTCCATGGCGGTGCGCCGGCGGGCCGCCTGGATGCTGGGGAGGGGGATTTTCAGCGGCTCTTCCGGCACCGTCGGAAGCTCAATTTGGCATCGGTTGCCCAGACTGATAACGGTTCCCCGCCTCGTCGGTTGGGCGTCCACGAACCCGAGCACCGACTCACGAGCGAGGGACCCAGCGACGCTGAGCAACGTGCCTCTTCTGGACATGTTCTGGTTCTGCACGTCGGCAGGGCTCGGCGCCACGTCCCTCGACACCGTGTCGGTCTCTGTCGTGCTGATTATGGTTCCTCGCCTTGAGTGCAAAGAACCGTGTTCCGTGTGGCTCGTGTCCGTCTCTCTCCTGATCCGATGTGGTCTCTCGCCAAAGCTGATGGCCGTTCCTCTGCGAACCGCCTCGTGGTCGCCGATGGTAATCACAGTTCCTCGTCGTCCTGCGTTTGACGGCTCAATCTCGAGGTACAACTTGTCCTGGTCGGCGTTCATGGAACACACGATGGACATCTTCCCCAAGGCGTCGTACGGGTCCTTGGATGCGTCTGTCACCTCGACTACGGTTTTGTTTTCGTTCTTGATCCACGGTGGTGGACGAAAAAGAAGGCTAATTGCCGGAATGTTGAGAAGCATTCCTCCGAGGAGGAGCATCGTTCCCTTTAGTCCGTACTCCAACAGCACAAACTCGAGTATTTTTGGGAAGACGAACGACGCCATGGTCGCTCCCGCGAGGTTCAAGCCAAGCGCGAAGCCTCTGCGCTTGTCGAAGTATTCGTTGATGCAAACGATGGTGCAGCTGAAGAGTATACCCTGTCCTGTGCCTGCGAATTGCAAAGGTAAAAAAATAAATAGCAGTGTTAAAACTAAGGAAATAATTGAAAATAGAGTGTTTAAGCATGCGAGCTGGTTGATATTACACATATTTGAAAAACCGGAGACGACGGACGAAAAAGGGGACAACACACAAAACGTGTCAAACACAGCTAGTAAACTTTATTGGCACAGTCGATTTCTATATACCATCTCTCCCACACGCCTCCCGGGAACTGCACCCGCCCCTAAGGCTTTCAGCCAAGGTACATCTTACCTTGACCTCATTTTAAAACACCGACTCAGTTCGTAAACAGCATTGCAAACAAAGCCCCATCGCAACAACCCCCAAGGTCGGACCCAACGCACAACACCTCCACACGAGCTCAAAGGCCGAACCCGCATCTCGTACAATGGCCCCCCACTGAAACTCATAAACGGACAAAGAAAAAAAAATTACAGCAGCAAAAGCTTTTGGGTTGCGTCGTCTAGTGTGATCGTATTTCAAACCACCGAACTCAGTTCGTACACAGCATTGCAAACAAAACCTCATTGTCACAACTACCAAGGTCGGACCCAACCCACACCACCTTCAAACAACACCAAGGCTTAACCCGCATCTCGTACAAAGGCTCCACAGGAAATTTGTAAACCGACACAAGAAAAAAAGAATAGAAAACAAATTACTGCAGAATTACAAATTACCGCTTCTTCTAGTGTGATCGACGGCTGACTGATACAATTGCCTACAGTCGTGATTCTGATTGTGACTTTCAAAAATTCATTTGCACAATTTTTTATTTTCTCAAAACAACAGTAGATCCCCAATCAGGCAAACAAGTATTACATGCCTGTGCATGTTTAGCAATCTTGGAGTTTTGAGACCCGTTCTTAACTGCGCTCATGTGTTCAAGCAGGATATCATTCAAGCACATTTCCGTCTGCCCCATCTAGGTGAATCCTCAGACCATCGGAGTATCATAAGCTACACCAACCTGGCAATCAACCGCGGCATCTCTGTGACGTTTTTGACAACCCCACGCGCCACTCGCGAACGGCGTAAGCCTGTTCAACTTAAAGTAGGAAGTGAAAACCACCTTTAGCCTGAACCTCCCCGGAACCGGCAACAAATTGTTCGAAAATTTATGGAAAAAAGGAATGCACATTACCTTATCTGGTTTCTCCCTTTCTTTCCCCACCCTCTCCTCTGAATCCACCACACACTTCCTTGCGAACCCCTCCACAATGTTACTATTATACCCTGCCTCCTTTATGCGTGACAATTCCCTCATAACAGCTTCATGTATTGTTTGTTGACAATATTTTTTTAAAGCGTTGTCGAGCAGAGGCAACGAGGGGTAGTGACGTCTTTGCTATACGACGCTTTAAAAAATCTTGTCAACAGAAGTACTTGAAGCTAAAATTATAATGCATTTAAATGCAAGTTTCACCCTCGTTGGTGTTAGACTGGTGGCGGCTGATGAAGCCCGTTTGCTCTACGGACGTCTAACCCCTCGTTAGCTCAATTGGCAGAGCGCTCCACCTGTAATGGAGAGGTCCCGGGTTCGATTCCCGGACCAGGCGGATTTTTTCGGTCGCTCACCGGTCACCTAGCTACGTTTGGAGATTTGCGTTTGTCCTTTATCTCTCTTTTTCCCCTTCTCCAGGGATTATTTTCATCATACATGAAGCTGTTATGACGCAATTTTCTTGCCAAATATAAATTCATGTTTTCTTATTTTAGAAGGCTTCTGGGTGCGAAAGCGCCAAATGCAAAATTCCTTTAATTCAACCTTATAAAAAGCATATGCGCGTATATTTTACTTATTCTTTTGAATATCGCGCCACATACCTGCCAGCGTGCTCATCTCACATTTCATATATAATAGTCACAAACGCCGCTTAAGACAGCACCCTCATAAATGTATTACATCCATCGCATGACTTATATACATCACTTACCAGATATCAGCCCGAGAGAAAACACGAGAAACGTGATTCCGGTGGCGAATAATGATACGATGCACCCAATGGACATCATAAGTCCGCCAAAGATGGCGACGCTTCGAACTCCAAACGAGTGAATCATTGGCCCAGATACCAAGCCTGGAAAGATTTTAAAAAAGAAACCTCAAAAGATTGTTTCTTTTATTGCTCTCTGTCTTCATTAACAAATCTGAATAATGTTCAGGTGCAATACAACATTATTAATGCCAGTTTATCTTGCGGTCAATCGGCAGCGGATATCACTGCACTTTTCCACATTATGTAATATATCACCCCCCTCCCCCCCCCCCCCCAAAAAAAAAATGTATATATATATTTTTTATCAGCCCACGAGAAATTATGCCGCAGTTTTTCATAAACAAATGAGCAATAGCGCGAGAGTGAGGCTAGGTATAACACCTAATGCTCCGGTAGATCATCAATTAACATGTTACTTAGGAGTACACATTCATTTTAAGAACAGGTACCATACCATATTACTGACCATCAGTCATTCAGGAACAACGGCTGGTGGGTAATTAAATCGCAAATATGCAGACACGTTCTTTCAGATTGCCTAGTGACAGTTTCAAGATGGCTGTACAGTCTTGTATCCACGAGCGCCATGAAGAGGGCTCCTCACGAAAACATTGACCCCTGTATTTAGACGTATGCGCTCCAGTTTTAAAAAGTCTTTGTCACTGTGGTCTGCATGTGGCGTTTATAGTATGTTCCTCACTAAAGTGAAGCTGTATAAGGCTTTCACTCAGACATCAAATGCTTCGGCAGTAAGAGAAGAATTCCTGTGAGAGTCGTAGAACTGGTTTAAAAAATAAATACGAGTAAATGAAACATATTTTTTTGAAATTAAACATAATGCTTGTACTAATTCCTGAGTAAAGTATTTACACGCTCGTTTAAACCAAGCATACTTTTAGCTGCGATAATAATAATTTTTTTGCGTGGCGATTTTTTTTTTTTTTTTTTTTTTTTCGCGGTCAGATGTGTTGTTACGAGGCGTCTGCGGTGTCTGGCGTCTCGAGACGGGGGCAAGAAACTCCCCGCCCCTCGCTGTATCTCCTATACCCATTCGCTCGCTTGCCGGATTCAACTAGTTCGGGCCTAAAACATGGAATTCTGACGTAACACTACCGTGCGTCACGTCCGAAGCTTTATTACAACTACGGTGCGTTAGGTTTGCCTGAATCCCGGAGTTTAGCTGTGTTGAGCGTCGAGATTCGCAGCTGCGTAGGTTACGAAATGTTAATTTAGCTTTAGCATTTAATGAAGTTCGGAGCCCTATACATTTTCGTTAGGAGTGTGCAAATGGTGCTTCAAACCGAATAGTGCTGTATCATCACTAGCTTCTACACTACAAAAAGAGGTCGTATGTCGCGGCTTACCCTTTCCTTATGAAGGCCGCGAATGATGCAGTTCTAATTGACTCGAAATACAACTCGTGCCCACAGCACTGCTTAAAGAGGCCCTGACATCAAAATGCGGGTCATCCATGCGTTGTCTCTGCTCCGGACTTGGTGCAATAGAAATCAGGGTTGTGCGAAAACTGCTTCTAACTGAAAAGCACCGCCTCGTTCCTGCAGCTCCAACACTACAAAGGGAACGGGCGTTTCATGGGTCTCGCTAACACCATGAAGGCTCTAAATGATGCTGAGTTATTCAATTCGAAACACCCTAATTACCGACAACCTAAGAAACGCACGGCGGGTTCCGAATATATTGTTCTGATACCTCCGATAACGATACCCGATCACGATGCGATGCACGCGCAAAGGTGTCGGCGCAGTATCGGGTACTGTTTTCAGAGTCATCGGAACCGTCTACTAAAACTTCCTATTATTGCTCCGCAGTTAGGCGATAAGAGCAGCAGAATGAATTTGAAGCAACTGGAAGCTTGATGACAATAGGCTCCTGTTCTTATTAAGTCAGGGATTATGGCAAGTTTTTAGAAACGCGCGCAAAGTTTTGCTAATTCAAAAACGTTGCGTGCGCAAAAAAAAAAAAAAAAATACCGTTTTGACCACTGCACATGTTCCGAGCTAAAACCGCGTTCTCGATTGCTGCATGGCAAAGACACCATTTGTTTAAGTAGAAAACATTTTTGGGGGTACGCTATTCTAAAACTCGCTAGTGTTCAGAACGCCCCTATAGATCGTTTTTGTCTGACGGTTGGCACGCTGAAATGTGACGTAGCTGAGTTGGGCGACAAAAATTAAGGTAAATAGTTTAAGCATAACGGCAGCGAAAAGGTATAGCCAAGAAAAAAAATGAAGCTATTGGCACAAACCCCTTGAATTCTAACGCCTCCTAATCGGCAAATAAAGTGATTCGCTATTTTGTCCCAACTCAGCTGCGTCAAACTTCAAAATACAGGCCGCCAGAAAAAAAAAAAAAACGGTCTGTAGTCAGTGACAAGGTGAGAACGGCATTGACGAGTTTCGGTTGTCCTGCCTTCAACACGAGTTTTCTTTCTTCAACAACGCTTGAGTGTCTTGTCACAGCCTCCTATGTACTGACAAGGCCTGGCAGATCGCCACGAGAAGCGGCCGCCGAAATGGAAAAGGTCGAGCGGCAGACATCGGATAAGAAGACAGTCACGTGACTGGCGCCCCGCCGCGGCAAGAAGCCGAACCATACTTCTCCCGAGCGAACTATTGTGTTTCGGGTCCTCGCCGCTGCAAAAGCTGTGTGCTGACATCCCTGTCCCCCGAGAAGTGGCTCTTTGATGCTCTCTGCTACCAGATCCTCTCGCTTCAAATCTGCGACCGGGCACTGTACGGCTCCGTCGTCGAACTGCCAGGCTTTGTGAGTATTAGCGGCGAGATGTTTTGGTGGCGCCCTCCTACGGTTCCCCCTTGTGACGTCATTACCTTGCGAACAACAAGTTCGATGGTGTTTGTAGATAGCATGGTGGAAGCCTGAAATCATTGCGCTCTCAAAGCAACACTGCCAACACCGTCGAAAGTAAAGTTCTTTCATTCCTCTTATTTCCGTCGATGGCATACCCTTTCCGACGTCATAGTCAGCTTTTGGGCCAATCGTGGAAGGCCGACCACAGCGACGCTTTCGGTCGCGCACGCCGCCAATATGGAGGAGGCTATTGGCGACGTGCGCGATCGAAAGCGTCGCTGCAGGTCGGCCTGCCACGATTGGACGAATGCTGATTATGACGTAAACAAAGGATTTCTCATCGACGAAAATAAGAGGAATGTAAGAACTTTAATTTTGATGGTGTTGACAGTGTTGCTTTGATAGCGCTATGATTTCAAGCTTTCACTACACTAATTATAAACACCATCGAACTTGTTGTTTGCAAGGTATTGACGTCACGAGAGGGAACCATAGCAGGGCGCTACCAAAACATCTCGCCTCTAATAGGGAGTATTCAGTGGTGGCCATATCCGTGTGCGCTGCTGCTGAGCGCGTGCTGACGGCGAGCTTCCGCAGTCCTTTTGGAGCGCGCATTTAGCACCATCAAGGTTGCTGGTCTTAGCTGGCTGTTAATGTGAGCTCGTTCTGAACATGCGCTCTAAACATCGCCCTCAAATATGGCGTTCAGAGATTACCTCCTATTAGCGATGTGCGCGGCCAAAAGCGTCGCTGTGGTCAGCTTTCCACGATTGGCCAAACCACGGGCATATGAGCACTGTCAGATTGTCAACTTTGACAGTGTTAGTTTCGGATTGCGATGGCTCCTAGCTTCTACTGTGCTTTTTAAACACACCATCGAACTCGTCGTCGCACCTGATGGTAAGTAGCCAGAATAACAACTGGTGACGTCACGGCGAGGCAAATCCCAGTCGTGACGTCACGGAGGGAAACCATAAGAGGGCGCCACCGAAACATCTCGGCGCTTGGGAAAATCGAGCACGCGCGAGCGCAATAAAAAAAATGACCGCATCTCCAAGTGGTAAATAATGTTGATTGGGGCGAAGCTCTGGTGGTGCTTGTCTGCGTAGACGCTGAGCCGCCGCATGCCGAGCCTTTCGTTCGTTTTCATGCATGTCAGAAAGAGAATGTGTGGTATGGAACGTGGTTATATACGCATTTGAGCATTTGACCGCAGCGCTTTCTCGACTATAAACGTTGAGCCAATGCTTGTAAAGTTTAACGCGATAACATACGCATTTGACCGCAGCGCCCTCTCCTGTATAGACGTTGAGCGGCTACATGCAACGCTTCATCCATGACATCCCCAGCTCTTGAGTTACTACCACATCTCAGAGCCCCTTACTCGTTCCGCAGTCGTGGCCGAGTGGTTTAGGCTATGGACTAGAAATCCATTGGTGTCTCCCCGCACGGGTTCGAATCCTGTCGACTGCGCAAACATTTCTTTTTTGTCCTTTTTTTTTTTTTTGCCCTACACGAGCACGTGAGCACGTGAGCTCACGACCGCGATCACGATCACGAGCACGATCACGAGCACGAGCACGAGCACGAGCACCAGCAAGATCGATGTGAGCACGGACGCCGGACGGACAAGGCTAGACCCTAAGGAGCTTCGCCCCTAAAACGGCGGTACTCGTGCTGGGGTTCTGGCGTTCAAAAGACGGGCCCTGTCGTTCTTACACTGTCAATGACTATATTATATATTTTGTTTCTGCTTTTCATTTTTTTCTTCATTTTTACCGCACTTGGAATCTTCCTCACCTGAGAGATTCACGAAGCCCCCGAAGATGCAGATGGGCAGCGATGCTTCCCCTCTTGACACTTGGAAAGTGGTCATGGACGAGGTGTAGAGGAGACTGGCGGTGCGGAATATGCACATGTAGAGGAAGGTCACGATAAAGCAGAGCGCCGCCATGAACCAGCTGAGGGCACCGTCTGGTCCCGGCATCGTCTTGGTCGCTTCCTGCACTGGCGCTCGCGATTCGCCCGCCTTCTTGTCCGTAGCCGGTACATCTTGGCCCTCCTGGTACAAGGCACAATTTGTTTTTAAACTTCCATTTCACTTTATCAATTCGGTTCATTCGGTTTATGGAAAAGAACGTTAATCTGCGCTTCGTTTTACTTAACTAAGAGTATAATGAAAGCTTCAGGTCGATGTCTATGCAGTACACGAGTAGGACTTATTCTGACCAAGAGCTTCAGCATTACAAGCATCCTCCAAACGTAAGGACTCGTAGACCTAGCCTTCTATGTATGGTGCGTTACTAATCCGGAATGCTGTTTTAACCTGTTGTACCAGCACGAAAGAGCAACAGACTTATTCCAAAACTGGAAGCACCTCATTGCGGCGTAATGCAACGTTATGAATTGTGAGAATCGGTGGGTAGCACAATACATGGGCGCTCCGCTCCTGGCCCCAAGATTCCCAGAATACAACGCACGTGGTGTCGGATTTATGCAAGTCTATTCTATAATGCAAAAACACGGTAGTTAAAAAAAAAAAAATCAGCACGTTCTGAATACAGACCCTGAAGGTCGAACCATTGAGCAAAAACATGAAATTTCACATTTAAGGCCGGTTCACACAGCACCGTTACCATACGTTGCGTTATGTTACGAAAGCTTACGTCGGCTTACGTCAAGAACCACCGAGACATCTGTGCTTCGCAAGAAAAGTAATGAAGTAATGACCAGTTCGAGAAATAGACTTGTACGCAATATTCGAGGCACTGAATGTTCCGGTTACTTGTACGTATCATAAGAAAGCGCAAGGGAACACTCCTGTGTGAACCAGCCTTTACTCCGAATACCATGCGCTGCATAAATGAGGGTATGCTGTGCAGTTAGAGGCGTTTCGTTACTATGGGGGGCTTTTTAGCAATATGGTCTTTTTGAAGATCGTACAAAAATATTTGTGTTGATATACTCCGTTCACCCTTAAACTGAGACTGCAGCCGATGCAACAAGCACGAGAGCTCGAGATCGGTGGTTTGAAGCTTTCTTACTCAGAATGAGCGCTCGCGCTAGAAATGCGTGTTTCAAAGCCAGACTCAGTCCAAGGGCGAATATTTATAAGTCCTCAGCCCAGCGTGCGATCTCCTCAACCCAGCACACGCTTGCTCGTCCCTTCGAAAAGCGAAAAAAATCACGCGCCATACACGCGAACACTAAAAATGGAACCGTCCAGGAGCCCTTTTTTTGGAAAGGTGTATAGCGAGAGTTCGTGCCGCCATTTTGAGTACAGAATGAGCACGCGCCCTCGGGGTCCGATATCCGCAGCATGTGATCAATGAAAAAGCTCTATTGTCAGCAAAAATAGCGGAGCCTCAATTTTGTGGCAAACACGCATGTCGATTTCAAATATTAAAATAATTATGCAAAAAAGCCGACTCCCTCATGATGTGCTGACGCTCATTGCGTGAATTTCCTACTGTATCGAGCGATAAATCAATCACTGTCATATTTACAAGGCCAGGCAGATGACAAGACTGAGGACGCTCAGCATAGGGAAGCGCTTTGCTGATGTGCCCCAACAGAAGTCTTGGCGATAACTTGTTACAAACAAGGGCGTTAACAGTGAGGCGTTACTTTTTCGCTAACGTAGTAACGTCCTCGTTACATTTTCACAACTGCAACACGTAACGTAGTTACGTCATTTACTTAGAGTAACGAGGAATGGAGTTACGTTTTTTGTTACATCTTACCCTAACCGTTACAAAGTAGACTTAAATTTCTTTTCGGTGTCTACAGCAAGCCTCGTCATTAATTATTGCGCTCATCCCGCATACCTTCAAACTTTTGCCAGTCTTTTTCCCACGGAAAACGTCCCACTTCAGAAAAAAACCGGCGCCCACGCCCCTTGTCTCAGTATCAAAAAAACGCTGTCGCCAAAAAAAAAAAAAAAAAAAGTTTTTGCTGTCAATTTATAAATAAAACTAACGCAAAAGTGAATTACGTCACTTTTTTTATAATTAACGATGATGGTAACGCGTTCCTTTTATTTTGAGGTAACGTAAGTCAGTAACGCTTTTTTTTCGCTGCAAGTAACGAGTAAAGTATTTCGTTACATTTTTCGGTGACGCCTACAACACTGCCCAGTACGAATCGCAACCACTGGTCAGTGTGTCGTTGGCAGCGCATCATTCTCCATGGCGCTGTTTTTCGTGGGCTTACATGATAAGCACTGTACAGTGAGACGATTGCCGGTTCTAATTTTGTGTATACTATTCGCTCTTTGTGATATATCCACATATGCCGTTCGTCATATACAAAAATTACGATTGCATTATCTTTTTTTGATCAACTTATCCAACCTATCCTATCAGGAGGACCGGGTGAATGAGATCGCATAAGTCATTAGACTGCAAAACCAGTTAATTCCTTCATTGCACAAGCTGATTAAAGAAGCCTAGTTAACTGGTGTTTTAAATGTAGAGTGGGGTCAAGTACAAACATCAGTTTTTAATATGGCTGCGGAGATCTAGGTATTGTAATATACAAGCTGAATGCGTCCACATGCTATTGCAGATCTAACAAAAAAGTACCGTAAAAGTTAATGAAGATAAAATTGCTTCAAAATTTCAAAAGCTATGATTCCAGACAGTAAGTACGTTGCATCAGCCACATCATTCGGCGTAGAAAGAAAAAGACAAAGAGGCTTAAGCCCTTCTCAAGCCACATCTAACGTAAAACCCTATATTAAACTTGAACCGTTAATTAAACACTCATATTTACAACATTTTTTTCCTGTGAGGAAGGACGATTAATCTTCTATGGCGCCAAAAAAAAGAACAATTTCCGTATTGAAAAGATTCGTAGTTTATAGGATGAGGAAAAAGCTTTTGCAATCTCACTAACCCGTCCCCTGGTCCTCTCGGTAATCGAAAAAGCGTCAGGTTCCCTCGTCATTCTAACAAATAGAGGTCCAAAGAATCCTTGAACCTTCCGAGGTACGTACGGGATTCCAGCTGGCGACTCGCATCTCGGCTCGGCGAAGGCAGCGGCAGCACACGCCGAGAGAAACGCGCGATGGGAGTGCCGACTCACTCCCTTTACGCTTTATATAGAAGGGCCTCACCCCCGATGTATCAATTGCCGTTGCCGCGCAAGCGAACAGCTCCTCGCATTCACACGGATTAGAAGGGCGGACACTTATTGCTGCTAAACCGCTCGCAGCCACCGCAGCCATCTATTATTAATGTTTCTCTCACAAACCCTAGGCTGCATTTTTTTTTCTTTTTGTTTTCCACTCCAGGTTCAAAACCCTCGGATTCCAGATCAGTCCGGATCTCGGCGGACCCAACTTGTCAACAAACGGCTTCCTCATGTTCAGGCTACGTCGAAGAACGTCGTCTCCCGCCGTTATCACTGTGAGAAGGTTTTAGTGTTATTATTTTAAGAGAGGCCTCTCTTTGCGAGAGATTTCATAATACGCTAGCGTAATCAGTCTCGGGGTGTTTTCTTCCTGTCGAAACGAACCCACGAATATTCGAAGGGGTTATTAACTAAAGGAGTGATTTTCGTCTTCTGCTTAGATTCAAGTTGATTGTTTGCAGTTTTTGATGATTTACTGACGGCCTTTCGAACATCTCTATTCAATACATTAGTTTACAATAGGGGTTCCCGCAGCTGCGACTCTATACACCCACGCGCTGCTGTGACGCCGTGCCTCTGCGGTGGCGCTGTGGTCTGCACGGTGCGTGCGCAGATGCATTGCCTTACGTGAATCTGGCTTCTGTACACGCGCAGTACCCCCACCTGGTGTGGGCAAACGCGGACTCGTTTGTAAACAGCCCCCGTTGGCGTTCGTACCAAGGAATGCACGTGTAGCCGAACTGCCTACTACAGCTATTCACCCGGGCTCGCAGCCCTCTTTGTTGTCCACGCTAAGGTGAGAAAGTGCATCGGTGTATATTCTGTATTATCGAGTTTAGCGAAATGGACGGCACCTAGTGAGAAAACACTGAACTGGGCAAAACGGGTCCTTTCACGGTTTCTGCTTGTCCCTTGTGGCTTCCGTGATTACATATTGTTGGCGATTGGCGTGACGGAACAGTTATTTCGGTGACTCTGTCGTTACTGTCGTATGAACGCGTTGCCCAGGGTCGCTCTGAACCCAACCTACGCTACCGCTTGAACCGGACATTTTGCGTTCATCAACGCTCATCACCACAACAGTCCTTCCATCACTCCTCCCCCCCCCCCCCCCCCCCCTCCCCCGCGGTGAATATCGAGCCTCTGGATGTTTACTTAGGCCGACACATCGCAGCAGGTTGGAAACGTAGTAAATAAACATTCGGAGAGCCATTTTGAGTTCAATGTTTGCCAACTAAATCCCAAGCGATATGCGTTGGGCTAGAACATATGGCACGGCACGAGACCGCCATATTTGCCCGATTGTGACGACCAGGTACTCTCTAAAAAATGTTTGTGCATCTACTTTTACGCACCAGCACTCGGAGAGACAATCACCGCAACTTGCGGAGGCAGCTCAGCGAATGACACTGCCGAAACATATGTTTGGACCAAAAAACGCAGTCTGAGTTGTGACATTAAGCAATGCAAAACGTCACGCTTGCATTGCTTAATGTCACAACTCAGACTGCGTTTTTTGGTCTAAACATATGTTTCCGCATTGTCATTCGCTGAGCTGCATCCGGAAGTTGCGGTGATTGCCTCTCCTAGTGTTGTGCGGGAAAGCAGACTCACGGGCTTTCTTTAGAGTGCTGAAGTCGCGAATAGTTGGTACGTGTCTCTGTAGCCTGCTAGGAAAGGTTACAGTGCTGAACGGTTTATATGGAAAGCTTGGCTGTTACTTTTCCCGTGAAAGCTGATAAACGTGTCCAAATATATGTATATATATATATTATTTATATATATTATATATATATATATATATATATTATTTATTTTTACCATTCACTGGCCCAACAAAAGCAACTCCCCTCAGTTTGATGGTGCTGGGTTGCGACCATTTTTAGCGCAGTCAGTGAGTATCTTTAAATTACGAAGCACATTTTTTGTTGTA